ATATATATCTGTACCTGCCACGCAGATATGCATGGATTTATCCAAGGAAACTGTCATTATAAATTGTCCTATAAAGTGCCTCCAAGCGCAGTGGTCCATTTCAGGACACGCTGTGTATAGCCATACACAAACTGGTCGGTTCATAGACTTTCCTCATTGGGGGATGGTTTCTGCCTAAAGAAAGTTGACAGCTTCACTAGATCAATGGTTTAAATTCTGTTCCCCCAGCAAACAGCATGACCATCATCTGGGAACTCATCTAGAAATTCTGGGGATGAGCCCCAAAGCTTTGTTTAAGAGGGTAGTATTAATACAGCCTAAAGTTTGAAAACCACTGGCCTGGGTGACAGCTTAACGTTCCTCACAGAAGACCCTTTGAGAGGAGAGGCCTGCCTGTGTGGGCAGACAGTCGTGTTCCTCATTTTGTCGCCCAGCCTCCAGTCCCCATTCTAACTGTGCTTTGCAGGCAATCTCAGCTCACACACTTCCAGTAAAACGTAGTGCACTTCCCGGTCCAGGGGACCACGATGGCTTAGGCAATCGTCCTTGCCTCCACGTGGCTACATTCATGGCTTCAGGAGTGACGGGTCTCACTCATGTGAAACCAATCAAGACCAGGAGACTCAATTCTAGGACATTGTGTTGGAGTACAATTTGTTTCTGAATTGTGACTGTCTAGCTTAATGAATAATTTATACTTACCTTTTCTTGTTGTAAAAAAGCTTTTCCTCGCTTGGAAAGGATGAAATCAACCCCTACTTGGAACACATTTTTCATCACTTATTGCACATGCAGCTTTTAAATAATTAAAAAAGACTTTTAGGCTTTTCTTTCACTAACTCACTGCCCATTGATTGCCATGGAGTTGATTCTGACTGTTGCAACTCTACAGTACAAAAAATAACTCCTGGTGAGCTCTGGTGGCCTAGTGGCAAGAAACTATACTGCAATCACAGAGGTGTGCTGTTCGAATCCACAGATGCTCTGCTGTAGAAGGAGGGAAAATCTCCTCTGTACCAATCAGATCCGATTTGATGGAGGACACGCGTGCGCACACACACACATCATCATCAT